GGACTTCACAACACAGCTCAACACACTCCCATCCTATGAGAGGATCTGCCAACTGATTTCCCAAGGTTATGGGGTCTTCCCCACTCTGGTGTCCTTGGTGTTGGATGATTGTCACTTCCCTTGGCTCCCAGACTGTCTTCAATAATTGGTGGATTTCCTCCTTGTTTTTGACTGTTTTTCCTTCTGTTGAGAAGAATTCTCCCTCTCGGTATAGTGCCCCATGAACATGCACAGTAGCAAATGCATAGCGTGAGTCTATGTAGATGTTTACTTTCTTACCGACTGCCACTTTTAAGGCTCAGATTAATGCCCACAGTTCAGCGCCTTGAGTAGACCACCCTTGGGCGAGTGCTCTAGCCTTGATCACCATGTCTTGTGAGGTAACTGCATAGCCAGCATATGGAGTCCCATCCTTCGTGTAACTGCTACCGTCAGTGAAGTGAGTCAGGGATTTTCAACAGTGTGTTCGCAAGGTCAGGACAGCCAGGAAAAAAAAAAAAAAAAAAAAAAAAAAAAAACCTCATTGAGGGCTTTCTCACAAATGTGGTCGGGAGGCCCCAGCAAGGTTGAGAGAAAGCTAGCAGGATTGAGGGTCTGCAGAGTTTGAAGTCTAATTAAGGGATTTTCTTTTTCTTTTCTTTTCTTTTCTTTTCTTTTCTTTTCTTTTCTTTTCTTTTCTTTTCTTTTCTTTTCTTTTCTTTTCTTTTCTTTTCTTTTCTTTTCTTTTCTTTTCTTTTCTTTTCTTTTCTTTTCTTTTCTTTTCTTTTTTCTTTTCTTTTCTTTTCTTTTTTAATTAGGAGATTTTTAATCTATACACCCTAGTAGTGGGCCATACTAGAGCTGGCAAGCCATTTATGTTCCTTTGTATTTATTAACATGGCCACTGACTGAGGGACCCAGGTAAAGATAACTTGTCCCAAAGTTAGCTTGTCTGCTTCTCTAATCAGTTTAACAGTGGCAGTGAGTGCTCAAAGGCAAGGGAGCCATCCAGATGCCACTGGGTCTGGCCTTTTAGACAGGCAGGCGATAGATCTCTCCCAAGACCCAAAGGACTGAGTAAGAACTCCTAGTGCTGTCTGGCTCTTTTTACATATGGATAGATTGAACTCCCCTGTGACCTCTGGGCGTTTTAAGCCCAGGTTTTCTGAAGGTTTGACTTGAGATCCTAGAAACCCCGCTCTTGGCAGGGTCCCACTTAAAGGGCTTCCTCTGGGACTTTTAATAGTTCATAGAGTGGATTAGCCTTTTTAGCAAGACCTGGGATCCAAATCCTACAGAATTCTGTGGATTCCCAAGCAGCTTCTGGCTTGTGAGCTGAGGCAAATCACTTACTACTTGATTTTGTTCTTGTTCAAGTGCAAAATTATTTTTAGTCAGAATGAATTCCAAAAACTGCATTTGAGTGCAGCAGACCTGGGCCTTTTTCTTTGAGATTTTGTATCCAACCTGGGACAGGAGCTGGAGCAGTACTCAAGTTCTTCTCCAGCAGTTTTCTGGGGTTGCTCCAGGGAGCAGAAAGTGTTCAACATATTGTAACAGAGTACACCCAGTTTCCTGACTTGAAAAATTCTCCAAATCAGCAACAAGCACATCTCCAAACAGAAGAGCGCCCTGCAACATATATGAATTGGGGTTGGTGGGATGTAAGGCCACCAGGGTGGGGTTTACAACTTGCAAGTCTTGAACTGGATGGTAGTCGCCTGAAGCTCCCCTTCCCATGGGGAGGGAGAGCGTGTTCTAAGGAGACTGACATTGGACCAGGAACCTGGCTTCTCTGAGCCAGTTGATGTGTTTCTTTATGGCTAGTCTGGCATCTCTGCTCATGGGGCACTGGCAGAGACACACATGCTGTGCCTGAGGTTTCAGTTTGACCTCCAAAGGTGGGTGATTGATTGCCATTCCTGGTGGGTTCTCCTTGACCTAAAGGCAGGGAAGTTTGAGACAAGTGGAGAGAGTGTCTCATCATTTCCTCTGGGGGCCTCAGGAGCCAACATTTGTTGCTCCTCCTTCCAGGGCATTTCCACAGCCAGAATTTTGGCAGGGCTGAAGGTTAAAGCAGCTAAGCTAAAGGAGTCAAAGCTGATTTGTTCTAAGTCCAGTCAACAGGTCTCTTCCCAGCAACGGTCCCAGGTGTGGAATCCAGTTGTCTGAGGGTGGTAGTGACCAGGGAGGGCCCCTTTCTGCTTCATGAGCTGCATAGCCAATTGGCATTTTTTTTTTCTTCTCTGTCTCAGTTTATGAACACTCAATCAGCAATTTCTAGGGGTTGGGAAGCATTCATCCCAGCAAACCCATCCTGTTTCTGGGGTTTCTTGCAGATGTCAGGAGCTGGCTGGGTTACGAATGTAACATTAATCATTCACTGGCTTTCAGGGCTCTCCATATTAAATGTAGTATAGGTCCAGTATGCTACGCAAAGCCTCTGTAAAACTGCCCTGGTGGCTCATTGCCTTTTGAATTATTTCTGTTGTTTTTGTCGTGTTGGTAGGTTTCTTTTTGCCAGCTTCGCCCCCTGCAAGAATGCCTCTCTGTATTTTGGGGGCACACTCTTGTAACCATGTCTTTGCAGCTGTAAGGACTCTGTGTTGTTCCTCCATATTCAGTAAAGTGAGGAGGAGCTGGCTAGTCATCTGCTGTATTAGCAGACTCTGGAGGGATGGTGACTCTTGGGGGCAGGTCTTAGTCCAGAGGTTTGGGAAGCCTCATGGCTACTGCTTAAAGGGTCAGACCACCTAGGCAATATGTTTGTTGACCTTTTTAAGGGGGGTATCTACCAAGGGCTGCAATTAGAAAGATCACAGCAGTTTCTCCCTGGGGTCCCTCTTCTCGGCTCTCCAATGGCTGATACTCTGGTGCCAAAGGGAGTACTCCTGTGGCAGATGACAAATGGAGTGGGGAAGGAAGTGGGAACTGGTGGTCTAGGTAGAGAGATTGATGCCTGCCCTCTCTTCTCCCAGGGAGAGTGGGCAGGTCTCTCTCCTTGGGGTAGGAAGGAGGACATCTTTCATCACAGTTGAGAAGAACTCATGTCCCAGCTTCCAGACAAAAAACTCATGACCTAACATTACTCTGCCTATCCATTTCTATAGGGAAAGCCCTACCAACTGCCCCTGTATCCCTCCCTCCCATGAATGATGTCATAAAAAAGGATACATGCTCCCCCCAGGGTAAGACCATTCTGGTGTCTGCTCTGGCCATGTCCCTTGCAAGCTTTGTGTGTTTCCTTAACAATAGGCAGTTGGATATAGAACCTCCACCAAAATCCTCTCCAAAAAAACAAAAAAAAAGAAAGAAAGAAAGAAAAAAGGAATAGAACCTCCACCAGATTACACTCATAGAGAGGGAAGGGGGCCCTCAGCATGTAATTCTGCCACTTAGTCTTTTCAGGAACACCACAGAACAGCAGAAAACAGACTCATGCCCCCTAGTGCAATGCACTATGGGACCACAAACACATTCACTCATCACACTCACATTCACTCAGAGGTTATGCATTCCCTCCCCACATCAACCCAAAGATAAATAAGTCCTGACTGCTGGTCCTGTGACCAAAGGAGAATGTTCAAATCTCCTCTTCCGCTCACTGAGTAGGCTGACTGATGAACTCTACAGACCAATCAGAAACAGATGAGTCCAGACTGCCAGTTCTGTGAGCAAAGGAGAATGTAGGGCTCTCTTTATCCACTCGCTGAGTGTACTGACTGATAACTCTACAGATCCCCAGAGTTTACCAGATTACCAGAGTTGACCATAGGTGATGCATCCAGGTCCGGAATAAGAGTTGGTCCAGAATGCTTGTTCTCCAGGGGAGCACCCCAGCTGAGAGATTCCATCAAACAAGTTGGAGCATGCCTATCCCTCCATACTGCAGTGCTCATCCCAGGGGAGGGAGCACCCTGGGATCAGTGGCTCAAAGGGCCAGTCAGATTTTTGCTTCCCAGCCAAACCATCAAATGCTGTGGAAAAACAGAGGGCCAAGGGACAAAAAGCAACATTCTACAGAGATAGAAATACTCTTTATTGTTACTGCCAGTGGGCATGGAGGAGTTAACATTCTGAAGGGGCCCTCTTTGAGGGTTAAGCACAGTCTTTTATAGGGGAGTTTGGGGGAAGGGGAGACTCCAGCAGGCTAAGGATATCCTATTAAGAAGAAGCTCCAAGTTTACTTTAGCAAAGAAAGGGTTAGATAAGAAGGGTGTCTGTCTTTTTCAAGGCCTCAGGTGGCTTTTATCATTTCAAAGGGGGAGAGGCAGTAAATTCACAGAGGCCTAGGGAGTGTCAGCAGTTGTTTGCCTTGGACTATTGTGAATTCTGGAAGTCTCTACACAAAGTAGCTGAGTGGTCAGGAGACACCTGGCACAGACAGGCTGCCCTCATCACTTATAGGGTAACATTGTTGCTATGTAACTAAGGCAGCATAAGGTGTTATGAGATAGATTAGCTGAAATATGGTTAAATGTGAAGGTGCCACATGTTAAAAAAAGAAAAAGAAAAACAAAAACAAAAAAACAGCCTACAGACAACTGAATAAAGCCAATAGCTTAACTAACATTTTCTTTGCTTTTTTGCAGGAATGAAATCCTGGTGGCAAATGTAGACAGTTGGATACACAATTTTGAACTTGCACACAAGTATCATTGCTAGTCATTAAAACTTTTGGGGTATGTAGCATAATGAGACCTTTAGGAGATTTTAAAGATACAGGTCCCCAATTATACATATCTTTGTAGAAAATGTCTTTGTTAATATTTTGGAAAATAGTCAATTGTGATAGAATAAAATGTAACTGCAAGTAACCTAACTACATGCTTTCTCGCTTCTGTATTCCCACTTCTGTACATATGCTTGCGCTATTAAGGGTCAGAACCCTTCCCCGGCAGAGAAGGGTTACTCAATTGTTGTTTAACTTCCTGCATTCTGGCCCATATGGAGAAACTAGATAAACCAGATATCTGGCCCATATAAAAAGAACCAGATATCGATGGAATGCCTCTGAATAGCTCTTCAAAGGACAGGATGGGCCGGTTACTGACCACCCTGAGAATCTAACCCTGGCCTTGTACAACAGTTGTAACATCACCACCTACACAAACAGGAAGATGGACAATAAAGAGAACATGATGGTTGGGACCCTCATTCCTTTGACCCGCAGCCCCTATCCCACATAAATCATCCCCCATCCCTTTTTTCTCCTCCCTGCATTTGCCTATATAAGCAAAGTAATCCCTCCGCTCGGGGCTCAGCTTCCCGCTGGGTCTGTTGTGACTAGGAGCAGAGTCCTAGCACGCTAGCAAATAAAAACCTCCTGTATTTTGCAGCAAGGTCTGACTCTTGTGGTTGTTGGGGTCGCCGTGATATCTCTCAGACTGTAGGGTCCACCGACCTATAAGTCAGGGGTCTTACACAACTTGTGCCGTCCAACCTGGGCACCGTTATTATTGTGGCCTTAGAGGTAAGCACTAGTTTGTCTTGTTCTCCACCTTCTGTATCTTCTGAAGTTTTGTATGAGTTGGTACCAAGTCTGGCAGTTGTTCAGGCTATTGTGAAATACCCGAACTGCAGTCGGCAGACCTGCCTCGGAGACTGCAGACTGCAGCCCTGGGGGATGCTCCAAGGGTGAGGGAGGATCAGGGATGCCTGATCGTCTCCTACGGAAAGGGCGACAGTCGAGTGTTGATACGCTCTTGTGGCCGTCGGAGCCAACGCCCATCTGACTCTGTTTGGAGGTTGTGGAAAACCACGGTCGGTAAGTTACTTTCGGTTTCTCTCACTCTGTTTTTCATACTTTTGTCTGTGTTTTTGACTTATCCATTGACGATGGGACCGACTATCATAACCCCCTTGAACTTGACGCTTGCACATTGGACCAAAGTTAGGGAAAGTTGCGACCTGTCTGTAGAGGTTAAAAAAAGTTCATGGCAGACATTTTGTGCCTCTGAATGGCCTGCCTTCCGGGTTGGATGGCCCCCGGAAGGTACCTTTGACTTAAAGCTTGTTCTAGCCATTAAAGATGTTTTCCAGAAAGGGCCTGGAAGCCATCCAGATCAACAGCCATATATCATTGTCTGGGAAAATTTGATTCAGAACCCCCATTCTTGGGTGCATCCCAGGATCTCCTGGTCACGCCCCAGTTCCTCCATCAGCACCACCCCTGCTGCTCCTCCTCAAATCCTGGTGACCCATTCTTCCAAAACTGAACCCCCAAAGACTGTAAAGCAAATTTACCCAGAAGCTCAAGATCTCAGCCTTTCCGACTCCCCAGGTTCCCCCCCCATATCCTCCCCTACCTCCTGAGAGGGAATGTAGGGGTCTCGGCGCCCACCCCAACCCCGACCCAGCCCCCTCGGCGCCTTCGGAGTCCCTGATGTCCCTCTGGGGCCGGCCCAGAGTACCCGGAGCCATCGCCGGCTGGCTCACCCGTCCCCTGACACCACAGTTTCTCTACCCTTACGAGCGTATGGGCCACCGCCGGTTACTGAGGAGGGAATCCCCACCCTACAACCACTCCAATATTGTCCTTTTTCCTCCTCTGACCTCTATAATTGGAAAACTAACCACCCTCCTTTTTCCGATGACCCCCAACGCCTCACTGGCCTGGTGGAATCCTTAATGTTCTCTCATCAGCCAACCTGGGATGATTGCCAACAGCTATTGCAAACTCTCTTTACTACAGAAGAGAGGCAGAGAATCCTGCTGGAAGCCAGAAAAAATATCCCCGGACCCAACGGACGGCCCACTCTGCTCCCAAATCTTATAGAGGCTGCATTCCCACTTGTTCGCCCGGATTGGGACTTCAATATGGCAGAAGGTAGGGAGCAACTGACAGTCTACCGCCAGGCTCTAGTGGCTGGCCTCCGTGGGGCTGCGAGGAGACCCACCAATTTGGCTAAGGTAAGGGAAATTATGCAGGGACCCACTGAACCTCCCTCAGTATTTCTTGAGCGACTAATGGAGGCTTTCCGGCGGTTCACCCCGTTCGATCCCGCCTCTGAGGGACAAAGGGCTTCGGTGGCTATGGCCTTTATCGGCCAGTCGGCGTCTGACATTAAACGTAAACTGCAGAGGCTTGAAGGATTGCAGGATCTCTCCTTGCAGGATCTAATCAAAGAGGCAGAGAAGGTTTATCATAAGAGAGAGACTGAAGAGGAAAAGGAGCAGAGGAAGGAGAAGGAAAGGGAAGAAAGGGAAAGTAAAAGAGAAAGGAGACAAGAAAGGAATTTAGCTCGGATCTTGGCCACTGTAGTCAGAGACAGGGAACCTAGGCACAACCCAGCTAAGGGGTACAAGCCTGCGTGCCCTCCTTTAGAGAAGGATCAATGCGCCTACTGTAAGAGAAAGGGTCATTCGGCTAAAGACTGTCCCAAACGATAGAAAAAATTACAAACTCAACAAAGCCGGAGCACACCTGCTGAAGTACTTGCACTGCATGAGAACTCGGATTAGGGGAGACGGGGCTCGGAACCCCTCCCCGAGCCTAGGGTAACTCTCAAGGTGGAGGAGAAGCTGATTGACTTTCTAATTGACACGGGAGCCCAGCATTCAGTGTTGCTTGCACCATCAGGGACACTGTCTAAAAAGAAATCCTGGGTCATAGGGGCCACAGGACATCAGCAATATTCCTGGACTACTAATAGGACGGTAGATTTAGGAAAAAGACAAGTAACCCATTCATTCTTAGTAATCCCTGAATGCCCTGCGCCGTTATTGGGACGGGATTTACTCACTAAAATGGGGGCCCACATTAGCTTTACTCCAAGAGGCCCAAAAGTCTCTCATGACGCTCAGACTTTTATCTTGACTATGCGTTTAGAAGACGAACACCGGCTATTTAAAGGGCCACCTAACATCACAGATCCGCTCCAGAGTTGGTTACAAAAATACCCGGGAGCATGGGCCGAAACAGCTGGGGTAGGCTTGGCTGTTAACCAACCTCCGATTATAATAGAACTCAAAACTACCACGTCTCCGGTGGCGGTCCGCCAATATCCCATGACCGAGAAGCCCGGGAAGGCATTCGACCCCACATCCACCGTCTGTTAGCCCTGGGCATCCTAAAGACGTGTCAATCCCCCTGGAACACCCCCCTGTTACCTGTCAAAAAACCAGGCACCAGTGACTATCGCCCTGTACAAGATTTACAGGTGGTCAACAAACGGGTACTGGACATCCACCCCATGGTACCCAATCCTTATAACTTGCTGAGCTCTCTCCCTCCTGAATGGGACTGGTATACTGTGCTTGATTTGAAAGATGCATTTTTCTGCCTCCGGTTGCACCCCTCTAGTCAGGAACTATTTGCTTTCGAATGGAGGGACCCCGATACTGGTATCGCGGGGCAGCTAACCTGGACCTGGCTACCTCAGGGCTTCTGACACTCGCCGACCATATTTGATGAAGCTCTCCACCATAACCTAGCCCATTTTCAAGCCAGCCATCCTGAGGTAACTCTCCTTCAATACGTGGATGACCTGTTACTTGCAGGAAAAACCAAGGACATCTGTCAGCAAGGGACAGAGCTTCTCTTGGAGGAGCTGGCCCAACTGGGATATCAGGCCTCTGCTAAGAAAGCCCAACTTTGCAAAAAGGAGGTAACTTACCTAGGCTACACCCTAAAGGATGGGAAAAGATGGCTCACAGATGCTAGAAAGCAGACAGATTCCTACTCCACGCACTCCCCGACAGGTACGAGAATTTTTAGGGACTGCGGGATTCTGCCGCTTGTGGATCCCCGGATTTGCCACCCTGGCAGCCCCCCTTTACCCATTAACGAAGGAAAAGACTCCCTTCATATGGGGTACTGACCAACAACGAGCCTTCGACGACATTAAACAAGTCTTATTGTCCACGCCGGCTTTGGCTTTACTGGACGTGACAAAGCCCGTTATTCTACATGTAGACGAACGAAAAGGCGTAGCCCGAGGAGTGTTAACAGAATCTTTAGGGCCCTAGAACAGACCGGCAGCTTACCTCTCAAAAAAATTAGATCCAGTGGCTGCAGGATGGCCAGCCTGAGGTCCATAGCGGCCGTGGCGACATTGGTGAAGGATTCAGATAAATTAACTATGGGACAGAAACTGTTGGTCGTTGCACCTCATGCATTAGAGAGCATAATCCGACAGCCCCTTGACTGGTGGTTATCTAATGCTCGCATGACCCACTACCAGAGCCTTCTATTAGACAAAGACAGAGTTCACTTCCGATCCCCAGTTGCTCTCAATCTTGCCACCCTGCTGCCTGATGCATCTACTCCGGGGACAGTTCTTCATACTTGCCAAGAAATATTGGCAGAAGAAACCAGGATTCGGCATGATCTGCAGGATCAGCCAATGCCTAACGCTCAGCTAACCTGGTTCACCGACGGAAGTAGTTATCTCCTGGCAGGTAAGCAGGTGGCAGGAGCTGTGGTGGTGGATGAAGAGCGGACTATTTGGGTGAGTAGCTTGCGCGAGGGGACCTCAGCTCAAAAAGCCGAGCTCATAGCTCTAACCCAGGCCCTACGGCTGGCTGAAAATAAAACTGTAAATGTCTATATGGACAGCCAGTATGCCTTTGCCACCACCCACGTACATGGGGCTATCTACAGACAGCGGGGCTTATTGACCTCAGCTGGCAAGGACATTAAACATAAAGAACAGATCCTCAATCTGCTGGAGGCCATACACCTCCCCCGGCAAGTGGCAATCATACACTGCGCTGGGCATCAAAAAGGAAACAATCGGGTAGCAAAAGGAAACCGGCGGGCGGATCAGGAAGCAAAACGGGCAGCAAAGGGGCCCTGCATACTGGCGGTCCAGCAGTTAGCAGCCTCGCCTGTAGAGAGCCCTATGGGGACTCTCGTTTACACCGAACAGGACCTATTGGACATTGATAAGCTGGGTCTACATTCATTTACCACCAAAGGGGTATGAAAGAACCCTGAGGGAAAAATTATTCTTCCCCGGAAAATGGCGATTGCCTTTCTCAAACAGCTCCACCGCCTAACCCACTTAGGCTCTAAACATTTGACAACGTCTGCTCAATGGTCTTTGTATCATATCCTGGACCTACCTAAATTAGCTAAGTCAATAGTACAGAGTTGTAGGCCTTGTCAGCTCGTGAATGCCTGTCCCAATAAGGTGCCCCCAGGAAAACGGCTCCGCGGAGACTGCCCCAGCTGCCACTGGGAAATGGATTTTACTGAAATCAGACCTGGCAAATACGGCCTCAAATACTTGCTAGTACTCGTTGATACCTTTTCAGGATGGGTAGAGGCTTTCAGCTCGTGAATGCCTGTCCCAATAAGGTGCCCCCAGGAAAACGGCTCCGCGGAGACTGCCCCAGCTGCCACTGGGAAATGGATTTTACTGAAATCAGACCTGGCAAATACGGCCTCAAATACTTGCTAGTACTCGTTGATACCTTTTCAGGATGGGTAGAGGCTTT